TGATCATCAGTCAAATGCTGAATGTGCATCGTAACAACCATGAATTGATTGTTCTTTGTTACAAAGAAACTCAAACCAATTTATTAAAAGAAGAGAAAGTAAGCAACACCATTCCAAAATAAAATAAGATTGATTCGGCGATTAAGATTTTTTTCAGTAATATGAGGGAGATCGGAAACTTAGAATGCTTATATTATACTTTAAAGTATTGGTGTTTTAAAATACAACTTGAAGTTATACTATAAAGAAATTTAATATTTATTTAATGGTACAACTTTACATAAAAGAACAACAAACACCATTTCAAAATAAAATAAGATTGCTTAGTAATGTAGACTTTTTTCTTTTTGTAGTAGTAAGCTGAGGGAGATCGGAAACTCAAGGGTTTATTATCTCGTTGGATTTCAAATTATTTTCAAACAATAAATTTTAATTATATTTTATTAATAATTTTCAATACTTCTAGGTTACTATTTTGAACCGGTTTCAAATATATGTTATGCCCAGTTTACAGAATGATATACTTTGAATTGTTATAATTTATGAAGAAAATTAACATAAAATTATCGTTCAAAAATAAAAAAGTATTATTATGTACTACTATAATACCCAACTAATATACTTTTACTCTTAATTAGTAGAATTTGGATCTCAAATCCAAATCCAACAAGTAAAATAATTGTCAGCTAATGTACAAAATTTATCGGTGTCGTCGTGTAAACAAGAAGAGACCGAAAAGGGGAAAACCAACACAAACGAAGATCAGAAAATGGCAAATTAGTGCGGTAATGTCGAAAGTATACAACAACGCTGTAACATTTTGTTCTCTTCGAAAGCGACTAGCAGCGGTCGCCACCTAACGGCAAAACCGACCGCAGCAACCGAAAGCTGCACCAGATATTAAACTATATAAAGTGGATAAACGAAGAAGAAGAAACCTACAGAAAGAGGGAACTCAAATCATGCCACACAAAGTCGGCATTAATTAATCATATTTAATATAAAAGCAATTAGCTAGAGACTTATCACAATCACATACATACAGCTAGGTATAAGAATACATCATTGTGATTACTTTTAATAATTCAGTTTTAAGACTTTACAAAGTTATCTTTTATGTGGTGTAACATCATTTTATAAATTGTTAAATGTGGAGGGTTTATGTCAAGTGCCAAGTATTATGGTTGGTCAATGACTCAATGCTGCATGCTTTAGATTCCATGGGGGGTGAACTTTGAACATTTGTTCTTCAAATGTCTTCTATGTTGTTTGCTTATACGGGCAAACAGTGTGATTGAGAAATTTTCTCCGACTCTTAATATTTGATTTATTTCCCGATAGCTAGTCTTGGCACCCTACTTTGAGATAGTTGTTCATTAGCTCCAACATTGATTGTTGATGGATGTGGTAGGTAATCTTGTATTTCAAAACTGTCAATTACCAAATGTCTTCTCTAAATTAAGAGTGTCGTAGAGTTTCGAATGGTTCATTGGTAATGAAGCGAGTTGTCCATATATAAAATGAAGTCTTTAATTGTTTTTCTTGGAGTTAACATTATATGATTTTGATGGATTTATTGGTGAGTTTTGTCTTTGTTTTATTATACTAATTTATATTCGATCAGAGTACAAATTTCAATCTGATTTGCTCCTCAAAGCACATACATAATCATTGAGTAAACCAAGTTAGATTGATCTTTGAATAGGATGACGAGTGGATCTATTGCCAACGGTAAACATAAAAATTTCGACCAATAAAAAGGCCATAATGGGACAGCTTGAATAATGATCACTGGATTCACTGCACTTTGAGGTCACTAACCAAGCATCCCATGAATTTTTGATTCTTAACAAACTTGTCATGAAGTTTTACTATTTAACATAATGGTCCCTCTAGGTTTCTCCATCTTCGTCCTAATTTTTTTTTTCCACCTGACTTTTCCATATATCTACGTGCCAACTTAAGTTGGAAAACCTAGACTATAATTAGCCGAATTTGTAAATAAGAACTCCCACTTACATGGTCAATCTATTGTAAACAAGAACCAACTGAAAACAATCTTGTTATTCAGCGCAGTTTTAATCTGCATTATTCAATCATTACAGTTCTATACTCTTTGTGCATTTCGATAGTTGATAGTTGGTACTTGGTAAGACAGTCCATATAACATTTTCATAGTCAATACCGCCAAATTTAGAGGTGAATATGGTTTGACTCGGTCCATTACGGAATCGAAACAAAACCAAAACAGACTAAACGGAGGAACATAATTGAATTAAAAGTACATTTGATTTTATTCGGTTCGATTTAGTTAGATTGTTTTTACTTTATTTATAAACATTCATTATGGACAGGCAATATTGGGTGTGTTAGGCATGTTTTACACGCAAAGTCACCCACCACAACTAAGCCGGTGAATTTAAATATGACCACAATCGCCCAAATATCAAATATTGGGTGAGTTGGTTGGGTTGATGCAGTTTGAGGGTGAGTTGGGTCGATAAGTACATAATTTCAACATTTGTCTTCGAGTTGGAATAAACAACAACTAAGGAAATATTTTTATAAAAAATTCTGAAGAAATCAACCTATGGATGCTACCAATTAGTATTAGAAGATCAATTTTTAGCCGGACATAAAACTTATAGATAATGAAAACACGAAAAAAAATTGAGTTCAATTGAGAGTTTTTGAAATTTATTTGTAAAATATATGTGGGTGGTGGGTTTGATAGGTTGACCCACACCCACCCATATTTTGGTCGGTTGACCTGGGCTTAGAAGCTAACAGGCTTTGTCTATTACACCCACTAACATCATGGCGGGTTGAATTTTATCGGGTGGATATGGGTGGGTTCGACAGAAGAGGTGACTCATCCAAAGTTCATTCCTAGAACTAATGAAATAGAAAGTAAATCTCATTATACATTCAAGTGAGTCGAATTCGATCCAAATATCGTTTTTGATTTGGTGTGGACTGTATCATAACTGATCGTTAATCGAAATGATAGTTTCCACTTACTATTCCAATCTTGACAGTAGGGCTGGGAAAATTAATAGACCAGACCGTTTGAAAACTCGTGGACCAAACCAGACTGCATAGTTTGGTATGGACCGTATACCGTGAAGAATGGCCTGGTCTGGTCCATGGTCTGTGTTATATGAAGTTTTGAACTCTTGGTCTGGTCTGGTCTAGACCGCGGTTTACCGGACCAAACCGTGAATCTATAGCCGACTTCCCAATACATGTTAGTATCCCACTCGACCACTCTCCCAAATACTGGCAGACCCAGGATTCTTTGATAGGTGTGTCGGCAAACAAAAAATAATTAATAAATTAAATGTATTAAATAGAAAGTACAATAAAATATTAATTCATTAAGGTCGTAATTTATTATTTTTTACAGTGACACACGACAACTTTTCATATTCAGAAAGGTTTGTAAAATATATTTGTCGCTTATGGTGTTATCATACTTTTTTCGACGTACAAAAGTAAAAATTCATTCATAAAACTGATTTTGAAGTTCGCTCTTGATTAACTCCATAACATAAAATGGAAAGCAGGAACGTTGGCGACAGGCGTTAACGTAAAAGTTTGAAAGAGGATGAGGTTCCACCGGCAGGTGCTAGCAATTAGAGAGTGGAGCAGAGGACAGAGAACTGTGAACCATGGGTTGTGGATTTTTTCCTCTTGACATTTTCACTAAAAATTAAAATAAATAATATATATTTGTGTATTTTGGTACCTATTGCTATATGACATCAAAATCAATATAGTGTATTAAAGGTGTGTCGATTGCAATTATATGAGGTATGTCAGAAATCCCGAATTCAAGTTTTTTGTACCAACGAAACATGGATCTCTCACAAAATTTTCGAGCCAACCTTGCTAATGCATGGGTCTGCCCCTGCTCCCAAATCCCCCAACAAGACTCAAGTCTCAATTTTAATTTTGAGAATCTCATCCCCTCCTTCACTGACAACCACATTTCACTAGAGAATAGAGACGATCGTGTCTCTATATGACATTATGTTAATGTTTGTGATGTTATGGTGCGAGTTGGGATTTTTGACTTTGTATCTTTGTTATTTACTAAGATTTAGGGAATCAAAATTATTCATGCATGTTGGGTTTTATGTTTTAAGGCAAAAAGTAATTTTTTCTCGGTTATTGGTTTAATTTTTAATGTGGTTGACTTAACAAAGTGTTCATTTTTTGTTCAATGTGGTCTGTCTAGACTAGACCGTACCGGATCAGACCACACATGCATGGTCTGGCCTGGACCGTATAATATGCGGTCTGGTCTCTGGTCTATACTTTAGTCTCTCGGTCTGAACTGCAAATCGTCTATATGGTCTGGTCTGAACTAGACCGCACCGTTTCTCAGTCCTACTTGATGACAATGTATTGAATGGTGTGACACGTTAGACATTCCAAACTTCAAAGGCAAAGTTTGTTACAAATCAAAATTGGACAACCAATTTGTGAATGACACTAAACTTTGGTGAGCGTTAAGGCATCAACCCAAAATAAGAAGAAAGAAGAGAAAAAGGGCAAATACAACAGGGGTCGAGAAAGGCAACTGCATTCCTTCCTTCCTCCCGAGTGAGCCACATCAAACCGCGCTGTCGTCGTGCTGGAGTCCTGTAAAAGCCTCTGTAAACCAACCATTCCTTTTTCTTCTCTCTTTTCCCAATTTCCTTTCGAAATTATTTTCCCTTCTTCTATAAAAGCCACTCCAGTAATTCTACTGTATCCTTCTCTTTCGTTTTAATTGTCTGCTCTCCATTCATTCGCACACGGCTCTGTCTTCGCTGCCAGACACGGCAAACAACGACGACTCTCCTCCACCTCACAGTCACAACTCTGTCTCGTCTCTCCCCGTTTATATATACTTTTCTTCATTTCCATCTCTCTGTTATCTTTTCACTGTCCAAAAGAAAGGAGCTGAGCAAAAACAGAGAAAGCATCCCCGACTTCAGCTGTTTCAGTCTCTAATGGAGGATCGCAAGGAGGTAGCTACTTTTCCCCCCACCCTCTCTATCTCTCTTTTGTTTGGTTCTTGAGAAAATGGAGGAAAGTTCGGATTTTGATTACTGGGTCTGTTCATTTCGTTTGGATTGTCTTCTGGGTAGAGCTTACTTTCTCTCAAACCAGTAAAGTAGCTAGCTCGAGTTGGGGTTATAAAAAAAGGAGATGTTAAATGGTTTAGATTTTCTTTCCCTCTTGTTTGGTTTCTGAGAAAACATGAACAAAAGTTGGGGAATTTGATTCCTGGGTTTATTGATGTCGCTGGTTTTGCGTTCTGGGTCCCCCTTTTCACTTTCCTCTCAGCATTCAAGCAGCCTGGAGGAGAAGCCCTCGATGATTAGCCATGGCTGCTTTTGGCCATTCTTTTGCTTACATATTCGTACCTTTCTTTTCTGCATTTCGCTTTCTAAATCACCAGCAAAACATTGGATGCTATCCCCTTTTTTGCTAGTTTTACTGTGTTATGTTCTTCATTGTTGTGTTCTTCATCAGAATAGCCTGGAAGAGGTTAAACTATTTAATTAATAGTTTCGACACTAGCGAAACATTCGAAACAATTCCAATGTTTTTGGCTTTCTTAGGAGCGGTTGCCTGCACAAATTTGAGAAACAGTCCAATTCACATAGGCCAGATTTCTATAATTCCCAATTTTGTTTTTATTTGTAGATAATGATAGAAATGAAAGCTTAAAAGACTTTTCTCCAGCTGTTGAAATTTCTTCTTTTGATAATACAGCTGTTGGAAATTTCAACTATATATTTGCCTCCCCTCCTTTTGTCATTCCATTCCCATCCCCCAAATTTTAGTATCTAGGTTGAATTCTTCCTGTCCACTTGTTAATTTCTGGTTTCCTATGACTTTAGATTTGTTTTGGGGAAGTCCATTAAGTGGAGTCCTAGATTTTGGGCTAATATCTATCTACCTTGGAACAAGGCCAAAATGAACAACAATAAATGAGATTTGAGATCTTCTGAATTGTTAACTTCTTCACTTTTTTGCTAAATTAAGTGTTGCATTACATCTCCATAGAAAAACCTTTGTTAGCTTTAAGCTGTACTCATTTTAAACAGTCCATGCTGATCAAACATTTGTTATTTGGCAGAGGAATGCACCATGGCTATCAGTGCCACAGTTTGGGGACTGGGATCAGAAGGGTCCATTGCCAGACTACTCCATGGATTTCTCGAAGATCAGGGAAATGAGGAAACAGAACAAAACCAGGGCCAGCCTGGGAAATGAGGAAGAACTCATCAACCCGACAGCAAACCTGCCAAAAGTTAGCCACAACAACGACAATCAACCACAGCAATACCATCACACCAACCACCAACAACACTCCCCCACTGTAAGACTTCTTCTTTCCATTCTTGTTCTGCGTTGATAAGGCCTTAGTTTCTTGAAAGAAAAATATGACATGAGACTTCAATTTCGTCTACTTGTTATCTTACATGTTAATGGAAACCTTAAGTGAAAAACTCATGTTAGTCAGGTGATGTTAACACCTCTATCAAATTGGGTGCACCATATTTGTCACTGACTGTCAAGTTGTGCCTTACTGTGCTTATTAAACCATAGATAATAACAATGTCAGTATGTGATCTAAATGGTACAGATATAATTGTGGACAGAGAGTAGTTGAAGGAATTTAATTAGGGGGGCCAACAAGTAATAAAAGGATATCAATGCTCCTATGGAATTGCAGATGTGGTGTGCCATGTGGGGAGGGTTTGATGGGGCCATGAGTAGTTGAAAATGAGAAAGCTTTGGTTTATTATTATTTTTGGGTAAGAGAGAAGCTTAGGTATTATTAATTCCTTTGGGAGTGAATGTACTTTGTTTAGAATACTGATTCTTCGAGGTGGGATCATGGTAGGAAATCTTGGGTTTCTTGCTTTGTTCTTAGCAGCTAACAACAAAGCTATTATTATATAATAAACATATATGTGCAAGAGAAGTCTCAAATTTGCCATTTCCTAATAAGACTTTGACATTAACAGCCAGAGTATGGTATAGAATATATGTGAGTTGGTATAGAATTCCTCATCAACTGCTGTCATTCTGTGGCTACAGCATTCTGAAAATGAGTCATGAGTCATGCCATTCTTCACTTTCAACTTCATGTGGTTCTTGTGGGAACGATATGAGATCCATTCTACTCGCCCCGAAAAGAATTGTAAAACAGAACAGAGTATAAACATTGTGTTTGGAACTCTTTTAATAATTCGATTTGTTGGAAAAGTGCTGGTTCTTGGCTGTTCTTCTAAGTTAGACCCTTTCTTATGGATTGGGTTGAAGTGATCTGTTTCTGGCTCAAATTCTATCTTCTGTATTGGTGGCCTCATACTCACAAGTAAGAAAGGGTGTCCTTGGAGGCTAGTTGTCTGTCAAGAAACCTTACCCTATCGCAGGTCCACATGCCATGCAATATGTGGGGCAGTCATTAACTATATAGGGATGAACCAAATCAATTATTCTTTTTGTTTCATTTCCTTGTACACGATGGAGAAATCTGTGCACTGTCTGGTAAAGTGGTGTGCAGAAATGCACGACTGACAGTTAACTTCTGCATGTAGACAGAAGAGAGTTTAATGAACTATTACTCTTGATAGAGTATTGAGCTACTTGCTTGCTGGTGGTCTTTAACTCCTGTAATGAACATGTTTGTGAACAACAGGCAAGGAGGAGCTTCTTCAGTTACTTCAACTGCTGTGTGAAAGCTTGAGAAAGAAAGGCGGCGGCCGCAGCGCGGCGGGGGAAGGAATGGTGGGTTTATCATGGATCCTAGAGTGAATATTTTGTGTTGGTAGATGTTATTTCGAAGGATCTTTTTGATGTTTGTTTCCCATCTGTATGACCTTAGTATTATTCTCATCATGTAGCACTTCTTCCTTGATCTTTTATCAATCCAAATTGTTTCCTCGTCCAGACCGATTGCTTTATTCATAATCCAAACAAGGGATGGTAATAAACGCTACATTGTGTGTGCAAGCATTATGTAGGTAGGGGTTTTAGGAAAACCAACCTTACGTTCTTTTGCACATCCTCGACAAGTTCATCAAAGGTCATTGGAGCAACATAAAAAGGTCCATCATGTTACACTAAAACTGCTCTAAAATTGGTGAAAGAAGTTGCTCTAAAATTGTCATAGTCGTTCTTGCCGTTGTTATCCGCCTGTCAGTCTGGACGGAGTTTGGTGGGTAAGGCGAAGAGGATTTGGAGAGAGCGGTTTGGTTGGTACTTGGTAAAGAGGGATGGAAGGTATTTGGGATACTTAGATTTTTTTAATAAATGGCTAAAAATGAAATCTGAGTTAGCAGTCTCTTTCCCCGATCAAATCTAATTAATGTGGTTAAAAAGAATATTTCGTTAGTGATAGAAAATTGGATGAAAATAGGATGGGTGTACATTTTATTTGTACTTTAATGATATCCTTCCTCCAATTTTGAAAGTTCAGTGGTACATGAGGCATTTCTCCGCTAGAAATTGACAAGGATCAGGTGGGATGGGATTAGGTGCTAACCCAGGGGTTAGCACCGTGATAACTAGCAAAAATCACTACGGATTATTATAAAATCAATACAACATTTAAGCTAAATCACTACTAATTCAAACTAGTAGTAGTTTTTCCCTTAGTTAGTACGGTGCTAACTATTGTACAATTAGCACCGTAACCCCTCCCGGATCAGGTTATACACATAAATCTAGAAGTGATGACACACATAAGCCATATGCATATTGCTACTACACGAGCAAAATTTTCTTGCTGCAATATCAAAATAAAACTTCATTTTGCACAATCAACATATTTCATAAGATTGTATGATAAAATAAATAAAATTACAACCCAAATATTAACGGTATGGTTTTGAACTAGGTACAATATACATGGATGACCTAGTACGAGAAACAAGTAGTCTCCTTTGAATATTGAAATAATCACACCAAGATAATATCAATAAGAATAAGAAGAGAAAAATTGATGTACCTTAAACTATGAATTTTTCTTATCGAATATAGCGTTTCGTGCCGATGACTTGTTATAAAAATGGTAGAAATGGAGAAAAAAACAAGAACAAAAGTAGAGAGGGAAAAGACACAAGAGAATAGGAGTGAAGAGTTCTACTTATTCATGTGTATTGTTGGTACAATGTTTGCTCTATTTAAATGCACCAACCTATACAACATACAACTCTATCATCAATGTACATAATGATCAGTAATAAGCAATTAAGCTCAAATTCAAATGTGAGAAGAGGGGTTACATGTAACACCCATTTATGCAGTAATGTGTGCAATCTTATGTGGTCATCCACATAATAAATATTTTCATAACATATTCATAATATTTCAACTAATAGTCTAATACTTAAGGTGACAAGGTCAACAACACGCACACTTCAATTATAGTACAATACGTCAACTAACACTTAAAAATCTAAAAAAATTCTTCCCATAGGGAGCGGTTATGGTGATTACTATGGAGTCGAAATCATCATGGTTATTAAGGCCAAATGGGGTATGAAAAATAAATTTATTAATTACATTTTTTACTAAATTACATTTTAGGAGTCTAAAACAATATATTAATTACAATTTTCTCTATCTCTTTTTCTCACTCTGCAATCTCCAACCATATTCTCTTGCTGCTTTTTCTCAATCTTTTTTTTGGTCTTCGTTCAGTCGAAATAATATCACTGCAAAAATAAACAAGAAAGCAATACCAACCCATTAGACAACCACTATCACTTTGAAAAACACCAATACCATTGCAGAAATAAATCAATACAATTATGAAAACAATACCATTACACTAAAACGACCAATCTATACAATCTATACCATTGCAAGAGTCAAACCAATACCAAAGTCAACGAATACCACTACTATTGTGAAATCAAAACAATACCATTGCAGAAATAGTAAAATTTAGGGTTATGTCGCAATTTCTCGTCTGGGAGAGAGGGAGATGGATGAGTTTTAGGGTTAGGAGAGGTGAAAGAGATAGTAAAGTTTAAATATAGGTAATAATCCAGTGCTAGTATTTTTATTCCAAAATTATTATTAATCAAATCATGACCCTTGTTAAAAAAAAAGAGAAATAGAGCTAATTAAGAGTTTAGATCTAGGTTGCTACTTGGTTACTAAAAAAACTAGTATCCCCCTCTCTCTCACTACTCATTCCCTTTCCATAAGAAGGATTCATAATCATGAGTTATTCGGATTATGAGAAAGTTAGGATTCACGTAATGAGTGTAACTTACAAGTAGAGGACCCTACAAGATGTCAACAATGTCATATCATGTAATCTAATATTCTATCACGCAAAAACTATCTTATTTATGTAAATCTTCCATCTTTCACTCATACTAATATCCTATCAAGCAAAAACTACATGATTCATCCAGTAACCGTTAATAAATGACCAACACATAAATTATATTGCTAAGGTCTTACCATATACAGTGTTTTTGGTTCATCTAGATTTAGCGGAACAATAGAATTTTTCGTGACTTGGAAGCTTCACACTCTAAGATTTGCAGTAAGATTGTTCAAATGATTGCAGACTTTTGGACTTATCTCTCATAACTATTTTCAGCAGTGGATGAGGATTTGGACAGACTGAGTATATATCTGTAATTGTTATGTGTGAGTGTGTTTTTTTTGTTGCTTCTTTTGGACTTATCTCTGATAACACTTTCATGTTTTTCTTTTTTGGTAATAAAATTGAGTCTCATCATTCATAAAAAAATAGTTCTACAAAATTACCATTAAGAAATTTGAAACCTAATGAAAATAGTAATATATAGTAGATAAATAGAAATCAAGCAAATATCTTACTTACTCCCCGAGGGGCGGGTAAAAGTGGAAGGGGTCAGCATGGAATACCATTTTCTATTATCAGAAATTCAAAAAGATCTATTTTCATATATATGCTTTGCACTCGCACTAAACAAACAATACTGTTATAAAAAAAACATAAAGAAGTGAGAAGAGGCTATGAGCGACAAACAATAAAACAATAACAAAAATTAATATTTACCATGTCAGAAGTTCTTGGAGGGGTGATAAATTTATAGTTGAATGACCCTCTACATGCAAAATATCGTTGCTAATAATGGTGGATATAAGCTGGATTGAAAACCAATAAAGAATCAATTTGTGGAATTTTTCAGGTTGTAGACCTTACCCTATCTCCTGATTCTTTGATAAAAACAACTATAGAACACTTCTTCAAGTGGGGTTTTAACTCTTAAATTACCCCTTTTGGCATTTAGTAAGTAGTCGACATGCTATCTTATATTGTTTGAAACTCAAAACGGCTATATTTTCATATATATGTTTAGCATTCCCACTAATAAAAAAGTGATGAGAGACAATGAGTGACAAAAAATAAGACAATAAAAAATAATAGTATTTCCTATTTTGTAAGTTTATAACTGAATGTCCTCTCACTTTGAATAACCATTAGCAAATGATCTCACACACACGTTATTTTCACAATACCAGAATAGAAATCTCACTTCCATGTTGCTCTCGAACGGGGAGTTATAGTTTTCGCGCAACAGTTCTGCAAAATCACTTTTAATAAATTAGAAACCTAACGAAAATAGTAATTTATAGTATAGAAACACAAACCACTAGAGCATGCACATCAAACTATCATATTGAATTGCCATGTGACAGGATAATGAAAATGCAATTACATCTTTAATTGTATGGATGTATGTTTTAATTGTATTTGTGCAAGTTATCACAAAATGCAATTCTATTTGAAATTTCATTCTCGCTTTTATTTAGTTTTTTCTTTTTTTTATGTTTACATGTGATAAAAAATAAAACAAAATATATTTTATCAGAAAAATAATTTAGGTCCACTTCAACAATTGCAAGTTAATTGCATTGATGTAAGTGAAAGAAATTAATAAGTGTTGGATTGCAAAAAAGTTGAGTTGGCAAGAAAGAGCACAAATACAATTGCAATGACATGGATGCCCTTAAATGGGGAAATAATATTATAATTAGTATTGCATTCATGATTATGTGAACGATAAAGTGTTTTTTTGTTTACAGTTAAGGGAAATTCAACATGATTATAATTTCTTCTCGTAAGGCTTAGTTACGGTTACTTGGGCTTATTTAAAAAATTGATTGACCATCTGATTCTATTCCGAAAATTCATTTGTATTGGTAGTGTCAATAATAAAAATTATAATTATTCTTCGTTTACTTTATTGAGGGGTGAGATATAGTGACAACGCTTTTTAGGGTTGTCATTTTCACAACTCACTCTATCCACTTGGATATGTTCTTTTTCATATATATATTTTTAAATAGATGGATGAGATTGAGTGAAATGTATTTTTGGATGAAAAATATGACCACGTGGAATTACTACACCTATTAAATGGTATGTCTGCCACGATTCTCAAACTTTAGTGGTACCGGAGGTATTTTACCCTATTGTTTTGTTTTCCCTGCTAGTACTCACACATTTCTATTAATATGAACAAAAGGAGAACAACGGATATAAGGTGGTTGCTTCTTGTTTCGGCTTCATCAACCAATCCACTGGTGTTGGCTGTGAAGTTGAGCGTGATTTTCTAGAGCAGAAGGGTTCCCTCACCCTAGGGCTATCTCATCAATACGATGAGTCGACAAAGTTTAAGCTTCGAGTGAACCACAGAGGGGAGGCGAACGTTGTGTTGTTGCACAAATGGCAAC